CCTTCTTGGGATGCTTTTGCCCTGTATCTTCTTTCATTGTATTCTATCTTCAACTGCTAAACTTTATTCAACATAACAAACCTTCCCTAAAGATAACAGATGGTTATTTATTTGCTCTACAGCATTTCTTTCTTCTTGCTGTTACACTGTTTGGCACATTGTATTATATTGCTGCCACTAAGTCTAAGACATCATCAATCGTGAAACACACTATTTGTTTATAAAACACTAAGGAACAATAAAAGCTGCCAATAAAATTATAACAAAGCCATATTGCTTAGAATTTTCATACATATTTAAAGAGTTCTTTTCATGTAATTGTAAAATATATCTAAGAACTCAGAGTTTTGTTAGCATTTCTGATTAACCAGCTGATAGTTTCAATTTTTCTTCCATCAAATCATTTGTCACAGAAAGATAAGCCACTGCTATTCAAATTCAGTAAGATGTTTCTGATATTGACAATTGACACTTTAATGATAGTCCTTCATGAGAAATTAATTGGTTACATTATATTAGTTGTTTTGAATTTTTTTTCCTGTCTTCAAAGTGATTGACAGGGCCAGGGATTCAGCTCTGCAGCATAAGCGCCTGCCTGGCAAGTGTGAGATCACGAGTTCGACCCCAGGTACAAAAATAAAATAAAATTAAATTTAAATTAAATAAAATGATTGATAATTTTTCATGCCTCTAGTTGAATTGCTAGGCATGTGATACCAGTGATTGCCACACTATTATACACCTATAAATCACTTATGAATCTAGCTAAAATGCAGGTTCTGGCTTTGAAAGTCTAGAGTGGGACCTGAGATACTGCATTTGTAACCAAAGGCCACATATTGTGTATACAATGTGTACAGCAGATGAAAGGAAACCTTTTGGCACATATCTCAGTCACAAGACTTTATACAACATATCCAACTTGTATTTTTTCTTTTTCAGGATCCATGAAATGTTTTATTTGATTTGCAAGAAAATAAGAAATGAGAGTTACACCTCAAAATATATGTATTTACCTCGCTGATAAAAATACATACTCCAGGGACCAGCCCGTGGTTTCCTGCTGGGACCAGTGAGTGGGGCCTAGGCACGGAATCTCACCCCAGTCTGGGGGAACTCTCTTTGTCACCTGGGGACCAGCCCCCGGTTTCCTGCCAGAACCAGTGAGTCGGGTAGGCACCAAATCCCGGCCCAATCTGGAGGAGCTCTCTTCCTCGCCTGAAGGCTAGGCCGCGGTTCCCTGCCGGGCCAGAGAGTGGGGCCACGAAGAGGAACCCAGACCCAGTCTGGGGGAACTCTCTCCCTCACTTGGAACAACATCTGAAGCTCGAAAATATAGGAAAATGACAAAACGAAAGACCAAAATGCAACATCAAACATCCAGCCCATCCCAAGAAAGCCTAGGAACCACGTACATAGAAGAAAACACATGCCACATACCTGAAATACCTGAAATAATAGTAACTGAAATAAAGAAGCAACTCTGGGAAGCCTTAAAGGAATTCAAACTAGAAATAATCTCTCAGGTAAAAGAAGAAATGATAAAAGAAATAAAAGTGATGCTGAACATATCTAAAGAAGACACAGTTAAAAAATGGGAGGACCTAAACAAAAAGATAGAATCCCTGGATGAACAATATAAGAAACAAACAGAATACATAAAGCAGATACAAAGAGATATACAGGAAATCAAAAACTTCATTAGAAGTTGTAAAAACCGCCTCAATGAATGTGACGATAGAATCTCAGACCTTGAAGACAAGATTGCAGCCAGTGAACAGGAAAGGAAAGATCTTTTAAAAATAACAAGAAATCAGGAAATAACAATTCATCACCTGCAAGATGACGCAAAGAGAAAGAACATAAGGTTGATAGGAATAAATGAAAAAGAAGGGGACAACATAAAGGATGTCAAGAGGATATTTAGAGAAGTAATAGCTGAAAATTTCCCAAACATGAGATTGGAAACTGATATCAAGATCAATGAAGCATATAGAACTCCAAATAGCCATAACCAAAATAAACTACACCCAGACATATAATAATGACCATCCCAGAAATGGAACAAAAGAATAGAATATTAAAAGCTGTCAGAGAGAAAAGACAGATCACCTATAAAGGAAAACCTATCAGAATCACAGCAGACTTCTCAGCACAAACAATAAAGTCAAGAAGAGCATGGAGGGAAGTATTTCAGATTCTAAAGGAAAATGATTTCCAATCTAGGCTGATGTACCCTGCAAAACTGTCCTTCAAAATCAATGGAGAAAGAAGATACATCCATGACAAAGAACAGCTGAAAAACTATATGCTCACCAAGCCAACCCTGCAAAGAATACTGAAAGACAGCCTAGATACATTTTGGAAAAAAATCACTAAACAAAGCAGACAGTTAAACAGAACAGAAAGATACAGAAAGATCTTTCTGCAATAGCAGAAAGATAACATGTCAACAATAAACCGATATATAACAATTATAACCATTAATGTAAATGGTCTCGATGCACCAATTAAAGAAACAGACTGGCAGAATGGATCAAGAAACAAAATCCAACCATATGTTGTCTACAAGAAACCCATCTAGCCCAAAAGGATACTCACAGACTAAAAGTCAAAGGATGGAAAACAATACTTCATGCAACAGGACCCCCCCCAAAAAGCAGGAGTAGCTATTCTGTTTGAAGACAATCTGAATTTCAAGTCAATAATGATCAGAAGGGATAAAGAAGGTCACTACATACTGGTTAGGAGAAAACTTCAAGAGGAAGAGATAATTATCTTAAATATATATGCACCAAACTCCAGAGCACCCAGTTATTATAAAACAAGTACTAACAGAAATGAAAAACCAAATTAGCAGTAACACAATTCTAACAGGAGATCTCAACACACCATTGACACCAATGGACAGATCAACCAGTCAGAAAGTCAGCAAAGAAATAAAAGAACTGAATTGCACCTGTGAACAAATGGACTTAATAGACATATACAGAGTATATCACCCAACAACAACAGAATACACATTCTTCTCAGCAGTACATGGGTCATTCTCTAAAATAGATCATATATTAATTCACAGAACATATTTAAATAAGTGCAAAAGGGTCAAAATTATCCCTTTGCATGCTATTGGACCATAGTGCTATGAAATTAGAAATTAATGATAAAAGATACTACAAAAATCCCACAAACACATGGAAACTGAATAACACACTCTTAAGTAATCAGTGGGTCACAGAGGAAATTCAAGAAGAAATTAAACAATACCTACAAACAAATGAAAACACAAATACAACTTACCGGAACCTGTGGGATGCAATGAAAGCTGTCCCCAGAGGAAAATTTATTACACTGAGTTCCCACATTAGGAAAACAGAATGAATACAAATAAATAACCTGATGTTACATCTCGAACATCTAGAAAAAGAAGAGCAAGTCAAGCCCAAAGCCAAAAGAAGAGAAGAAATTATAAAAATCAGAGCAGAAATCAATGCAATAGAGACTAAGAAAACAATCCGAAAAGCAACGAATCAAAGAGCTGGTTCTTTGAAAGAATAAATAAAATTGACAAGCCCCTAGCCAACCTTATTTTTAAAAAAGGGAAGAAAAAACTCAAATTCATGCAATAAGGAGTGAAATAGGCGAAATTACTACAGACTCAAAGAAATACAGAAGATCATCAATATGCATTTCAAAAACCTATACTCTCAAAGGTTTGATAACACAGAGGAAATAGACAGATTCCTAGAAAGTACCAAAGCTAGGTCAGGAAGATGTAAAACTACTGAATAACTCAATTTCTATTAATGAAATTGAAAATGTAATTAAATCTTTACCTACAAAGAAGAGCCCAGACCCAGACAGATTCACTACAGAATTCTACAAGAAATACAAAGAAGACCTAATGCCAACACTCCTCAAACTCTTCAATGAAATTGAAAGGGAAGCAATCCTTCCTAAATCGTTCCTAGAAGAAAACATTACTCTAGTACCAAAACCAGAGAAGGACTCAACTGAAAAAGAGAACTACAGACCAATCTCCCTAATGAACACAGATGCAAAAATCCTCAATAAAATATTGACAAATAGGATGCAGCAAGTCATCAAGAAGATCATACACACCGACCAAGTGGGATTCACCCCAGGCATGCAGGGATGGTTCAACATACGTAAATCAATAAATGTAATCCACCATATCAATAAAGCCAAAGGTAAGAATCACATGATCATTTCTATAGATGCAGAAAAAGCCTTTGATAAGGTCCAACATTCATTCATGATAAGAACCTTACAGAAAATTGGAATAGATGGTCTTTACCTCAATATAATTAAGGCCATCTATGACAAACCAACAGCCAATATCATACTAAATGGCCAAAAATTTAAGGCCTTTACTTTAAAATCAGGCACGAGACAAGGATGTCCCTTATCACTGCTCCTATTTAATATAGTACTGGAAATACTGGCCAGAGCAATTAGACAAGAGAGAGAAATAAAAGGCATAAAGATAGGAAAAGAAAAAATTAAATTATCATTATTTGCAGATGACATGATACTCTATATAGAAGATCCCCAAAACTCCATTGAAAGACTCCTAGATACAATAAATAAATTCAGTAATGTAGCTGGATACAGAATCAATAGTCAAAAATCAATAGCATTCCTATACACTAACAACAAAGTCACAGAGAGAGAAATAAGAGAGGCCACACCCTTGACACTAGCAACCAAAAAAATGAAATATTTAGGAATTAATCTCACGAAAGAAGTGAAAGACCTATACAGGGAAAATTATAACACATTGAAAAATGAAATTGAAGATGATCTCAGAAAATGGAAAGACATCCCTTGCTCATGGATAGGAAGAATAAATATTGTGAAAATGGCCATTCTCCCAAAACTTTTTGATCCGGCCTGCAGATCAACAAGTTTGGAACTCCTGGAGGGGAAATGGGGATTAAATAAAAGACATGGGGGAGACAAAAAGAGACGAAGGCAAGTTGATGTTAACCCAATCAAGCCTCCGGTTTATTGAGAAAATAATCACACCTTTTATAGGCTAAGGGCGGGAGCTGGGACAGGAAGACGTTAAACAGATGAATACAACAGGGTTACCATCACATCCGGATAAGTGACGTAAGCAGAAAAGGATTATGGTTAATGTAGGCAGACGCAGTGCCCATAGGAGAGAGAGAGAGAGACATCTAGGCAGCAGTGCCTGTCACTCGGCTCCCTACATCTCCTCCCTTTTTATATTATTTAATTAAGAGTATGGCAGGCCCTGTGAGGACAGCGTTTGTCTTAGGTCAAGGACCTTATTGTATGAACCCAACCAGGCCTTACCCGTCATGGGCTTGCAGAACAGTAGTTGGTCCTGTGCCTGTCTTAGGTGGCCGTTGGAGTTAACATGCATGTCCTAGTTGCCCGTCTCTGACTGCCTGTCCATTGCCCCAGGGCAGTCAGGCCGCATCATCATATGGGCCACTCGTGGGAATTTCTTCCCTGTAGGTTTGTTGATCTGCCAACTCCAGCTGATGATAGTGTACCTGAATGGGCTTTGCCATAAATGCGTTTATCCGGTTATTAATGAACATCATAATCCTCTGAAAAATACAAGACTCACAGAAATGAGAAACAATAGGTCAGCTAGGGAACCCAAAAGGGGGCATTAGGTAAGGGAAAAACTCCCCCCCCCTGTTGGGAGCCGCAGCCCCGAGCCCGGTCGCCTCACTTGGCGGACGTGAGGCCTGTAGTAAAGAGTGAGGCCTGAGGTAGATTACCCCTCCCATCGAATATGTTAGTTTCCTGCTTACCGCGTAAACAACCCGCTCAACAATATAGTCTGCCTGGCAACTGATGATGTTAGCCAATCAGCTTGCCTTGCTTACTTTAACATGATTGGACACTGTACCCGTATATATACCGGTGCCACCCCTGGGCGGAAGTAGAAGCCAGATAGAAGCCCGGAAGTAGAAGCCCAAAAGGAGCCGCGGAGAGCGGACCGGTAGAGGCTTTGGGGCAGACTGAAGCACAAAAGGAGCCGTGGGGAGCGGACCAGAGGAGGCTTCAGCTGGGAGAACCCAGGGCAGGCTGTACGGAGAAGGAAAATAAAAAGAAAAGGTTGTCCACTACCAGACTTTGTCGTGTGTCCTTCCTGCCGGCCGGGAGCGGACATCGACACCCCCCCAAAATCAAGGAGAAGGGGTTGACAGCCATTTGTTGGTGTCTCTGTATGAAGTCATTCTCCTGTGTCTTGGAGCATGCCTTGAATAACATTGGATGTAGTCTATTTGGCTGGTGTATGTTTCTCTAGACCGAGAAGAGCCTCTTCCGCAGTCATGGGGTTTTGTGCATGGCTGTCAGCAGTTGTAGTCTGTTTGGCAGGGGTCAAAATCCACCATGGATGTGGTGTGGCTCAAGAAGGCTGGTTAAGCAGCATAAGGCTCCAGGGAGATGTGTCACCTGTAAGAGAACACAGGGGATTGTGCCTCAGGAAATAACATTATTCCTGGGCATTACATGGGGTCTTTGAAGAACTGTCTACTTGCTTTACGAGGCGTTCAGGTAGCCATCTAGCTTTTCTATCTTGTTGAGAGTAAACACACACTGAGCCTCGTCCCCAGATAAGGACTGGATCAGGGCCATTCCACACATTGGTTAGTGGATCTCTCCATAAAACAGATGCAAACCGTGTTTGAGTCTGAGTATGCCAAAACCGAGATGCTGCGGAGCAGCCTGAAGCATCCAGGGTCAGAAAATTTAAAATAAAAAGAGCATGTGAAAGGACATTTCTAGGGGACCCCTGGGTGGGGTACCATGTCTCCCTTTTTATTTTATCTATGGTGAATTTAAGAGAACGATGCGCACGTTTAACAATGCCTTGTCCCTGAGGATTATAAGGTATACCTGTAGTGTGGAGGATATTAAGGCTTTTACAAAATTGAGCAAAGGAGGTACTGGTATAGCCAGGGCCATTATCGGTCTTGAGCTGTTGAGGACATCCCAGAACTGAGAAGGCTGACAGCATATGGGCTATAATGTGTTTAGCAGCTTCTCTAGTCTGGAGAGTGGCAAAAATGAAGCCACTATAAGTGTTAATAATGACATGTACATATTTTAGATTGCCAAACTCATTGAAATGGGTAACATCCATTTGCCATAAGGCATTAGGAATTAAACCTCTAGGGTTGACTCCTAGGTGTTGAACAGGTGAGTGGATAGCACAAGATGGACAATTTTTTATAATTTGTTTGGCTTGCTCACGGGTAATTTTGTAGAGAAGGCGGAGGGTGTGAGCATTGAGGTGGTGTAACTGGTGGGCTTGTTGGGCCTCAGACACCTTGGAGTCCTGAGCCATAAAAACCTGTGCTTGTATAGCAACATCAGCCAAATGATTTTTTTGGGCAAGAGGCCCTGGGAGGTTGGAATGAGCTCGCAGATGACCGATAAAGAACTTATGACTGCGAAGCCATATGAAGCATTGTAATTGTTTGAACAGATTTGCAGCTGGGGAAGCATGACATATAGTAGCAACAGTCTCTAATAATGGAACAGACTGGGCAAGATAAGCACTGTCAGTATACAAATTAAATGGTTGGTCAGAGTAAGCAGCAAAAGCTGCAAGAATAGCTTTTAACTCTGCTAATTGTGCAGAGGAAGTATCTGCCTGGAGGGTAGAAACATTGTCTTGAGATACATAAACAGCCCTTCCGGAGGATGAGCCATCAGTGAATAAAACCAGGGCACCCGGAAGGGGTTGTGAAGCTGTGACTTTAGGGAATATAAATGAGTGACGATTAGCAAAGTCAACTAGCTTATTTGGAGGGTAATGATTGTCAATAGTCCCTGAATAGGAAGCTAAGGCAATAGGCCACTCTTTAGTACTCTGAGTAGCCAATCTATTTGGTCTTTTGTAAAAGGTTGAATGAGAATGTCTGGTTTTTTGCCAAAGTAACATTTTTCCTGTTTTTTACCCTGGATTATTAGGTCTGAGACAGCTTGGAAATAAGGCAAAAGTGTTCTTTTTGGAGAGACTGGTAAATGGACCCACATGAGGGGAGCTTGTTGTCAGAACACTGCTGTGGGGCAAAGCTTTGTATTAAAAATGAGAAACTGTAAAGGCTCATTGTAGTCTATAAAGGAAACGGTTTGTTGAGCAATAGCCTCTTCTACTTTACTGAGCGCTCTCCTGGCATCAGGTGTAAGCTCTCGGGGGGAAGTTGGATCTATGTCTCCCCGAAGCAGCGCATAAAGGGGCTCTAAATCATGTTTAGTTAGTTTTAAAAATGGTATGAGCCAATTAATATCTCCCAATAGTTTTTGGAAGTCATGAAGTGTAAAGGAATAGAGAATAAGCAATCTTTAAGATCTATGACAATTTTAAACAATCCCAAAGGAATGGCACTGGGTGAGGGGAGGCCTGGCTGTAGGGGCCCCATTAAGACCATTGTCTTATTTATCGCCCTAAGGTCTTGTAGCAGCCTCCACTTTCCTGACCTTTTTTGGATAACAAAGATAGGTGTGTTCCAAGGGGAATTATTAGGAACAATGTGGCCTGTATCTAACTGGTCTGGTATCAGCTGCTGTGCGGCTGCAAGCTTTTTAGAGTTAAGGTTGTTTTTAAAGGCTTATATGAATCCCCAATTGGCCATGGAGGCACAGGGAGTGGCGGGCTGCCATCCTGGGACCTGTTGATCACGTCAACAGGTGGAAGTGGTGGCAGATCACCATGTATGAGGACCTCTAACAGGCCATCATTCTCTGCATCTGAGAAATCAGAGGCTTTAGATTTTTCTGAGGATGGTTTTGAGGTAGATTTAAGGGAGTCGCGCAAGGCAGCCTCACCCAGTGCAACTGTCTCCTCAACCTGAGGGTCTGCATGCCTCTGGGCAAGCAGCTCAGAAATTAAATTCCAATATGTAAAGGTGGTCACAGGAACCTTTTTTGGACCGAAAACTCTATAATAATCTTTTAAAACATCTCTTACTGTATTCTACCTCTTGGTATCTATAGAACCCTCTAGGGGGAACCTTATGAATAAATTGAAAATACTGCAATAATTCTTTTTTTTTAACCCTTATCTCTCTTGTCTTTAATGCCTTTATAAGGCCTCCGACGAACACTTCGTGTTCGCTCAATACTTGACCCATGTCGGGAAAGGGAAATGGGGTTGCCGTTCACTCACCGTGACTCGGGCAGGACATCGGGTAGTCGTCTGCGCAGGTCTCGGCACTTGATTTAATGTCCTGTTGCTTTAAGCTTTAATCCTTGATTTAGTTTACTCATTCCTCGGCCGAGGTCTCTGGTTTAATTTGCTTTTACTTTCAGTTTAAGCCGGCTGTCTCTTGAACGGCTCCCTCGTTAACTTCTCCGTGCCAGGAGCCCCACGTTGGGCGCCACTTGATCCGGCCTGCAGATCAACAAGTTTGGAACTCCTGGAGGGGAAACGGGGATTAAATAAAAGACATGGGGGAGACAAAAAGAGACGAAGGCAAGTTGATGTTAACCCAATCAAGCCTCCGGTTTATTGAGAAAATAATCACACCTTTTATAGGCTAAGGGCGGGAGCTGGGACAGGAAGAGGTTAAACAGATAAATACAACAGGGTTACCATCACATCCGGATAAGTGACGTAAGCAAAAGAAGATTATGGTTAATATAGGCAGACACAGTGCCCATAGGAGAGAGAGAGAGAGAGAGACATCTAGGCAGCAGTGCCTGTCACTCGGCTCCCTACAACTTTTATACAGATTCAATACAATCCCAATAAAAATACCACAACATACCTCATAGAACTCAAGAAATCACTCCTAAAATTCACCTGGAGTGAGAGGAGACCTAGAATAGCAAGGACAGTTCTAAGCAGCAAAGGCAAGGCAGGAGGTATCACAATCCCTGACTTGAAGTTATACTACAAGGCAACTGTAGTAAAACCAACATGGTACTGGAACCAAAACAGAGATGAAGATCAGTGGAATAGATTAGAAGATACAACCACAATTACAAACACACTCAACCACCTTATCTTTGGTAAAGGGGCAAAACATGTTCACTGGAAGAATGACAGTCTCTTTAATAAATGGTGTTGGAAAAACTGGCTCTCCTCATGCCAAAAACTAAAACTAGACCCATGCCTATCACCATGCACTAAAATAAAATCTAAATGGATCAAAGATCTAAATATTAAAACAGAAACACTAAATCTATGGAAGACAAATTGGGTTAAAAACCTTGAAGACACAGGAGTAGGTAAACAATTCATGAAAAGGACTCAAACTGCACGGAAAATATTTCCCAGAGTCAATAACTGGGATCGCCTCTTATTAAAAAGTTTCTGCACATCAAAAGAAATCTCCAGCATAGTGAAAAGAAAAGCCACAGACTGGGAAAAAATCTTAGTGAACTGCCCCTCAGACACAGGACTTCTGTCTAAAACATATAAAGAATTTTAAAAAATCAGACCCCCAAAATTCAAAGACCCAATCCAAAAATGGGCATCTGAGATGAATAAACAATTTTCAGATGAAGAAATACAAATGGCAAATAAATATATGAAAAAATGTTTGCCATCACTGGTCATTAGAGAAATGCAAATCAAAACCACACTGATATTTCATCTCACTCCTGAAAGAATGGCCAAGATCAAGAAAACCACCAACAGCAAATGCTGGAGAGGCTGTGGGGAAAAAGGAACTCTCCTGCACTGTTGGTGGGAGTGTAGGCTAGTGCAACTATTGTGGAGGTCAGTCTGGAGATTTCTCAGAAAGCTGGAACTGGAAGCCCCATTTGACCCAGCTATTCCACTTCTAGGCATATTCCCAGAAGAACTGAAAGCATCATACCACAGTGATATATGTGCACCCATGTTTATAGCAGCACAATTTGTAATAGCCAGATTTTGGAAACAACATAAGTGTCCATCAACTAAGGAATGGATAAAAAAGTTGTGGTATTTGTATATAATGGAGTACTACTCAGCTATAAAGAATGATCACATTGAGATATTTATAAATAAGTGGACGCAGCTTGAGACCATACTCATAAGTGAAATAAATCAAACTCACATGTATAAATATCAAATAGTTTCCCTAGTGTAAGAAATGATAAGAATACATAAAAGTATGTGGTAATCATGATTCTCAATCATATTGGTTTGAATCCATATAATGTTATCACTCATTAATTACAATGGTTTTAACCTGGGTTGTTCGATTTTAATATCGGTGATAGTAAAAATAGCTATTCTGAAGACAACAACACATCATAAAAGCTAGTGCTGATTTAATATAGTCTTGCTTTGAAGTCCCATCAAGCTGTTGTACATCTGTTTCCACTAGTTTTAACATGTGGTATCTTACTATATTTTACTATATGCGATAGTATAAACAAAATTTTTTATAGGCAAAGAGATAATATAGAAACCGTTGTTCATTTTCTGTTAACTGGTTCTAAATACCCTGTAACTTCTTCATTCTCTTGAATAGCTTCAGACTGTCTTGATATGCTTGATGCTATAGTATATGAAGTTATACTCAAATAATACAAGGAAGGAGACACTATAGTGACTACTATTATGTTAGATTATCTGAGGGTGAAACACAATGATGCTTAAATTGTTCAGTTCTGACCTGTGTTGTTCTAATACAATATCCTCTTTTATCTCAATCTCCACCTTTTTCTAAATTAATCTATTTTTTCTTACATTTTTTTCAATTAAGGGAAAACTAAATTAAAAATAGTGGGATATATTATAGTAACTTTTTTTCCTATTAACCTGATATGAACCCCAGTATTGTTCTCCCCATCTTGTTCTGTCTGATTTTACTATATTCTATTTTGTTTGATAGTATCAAGTTTGAGGGTATAGGCAACCACTTTGAAGGCAATAAGATTCACTATGATGCCCATTATGGTTTGACTATTATCTTCTTTTGAAATCCTGTAAGGTCTCCAGTGTAGGTTTTATTGGTCTTGTTCTGTACTGTTTTGATCAATTCTATTATATCTGATGATACAGGCAACTCTTTTTAAAAATAGCAAGAGGCACAATGGTACCCATTTTTGATCACCTGATATTTTATTTTTGCATCATGTACTCTGCCCATCCTTCTGTTCTAACCTACTCTGTTTTGTTTAGTCATGTTAGGTTTTATTCTTTTCAAAAAAAGTAGTAAGAACTGTGGGAGTAAAAAAACCCAAAAAGTGTAATTGTTATTAAAAAGAGAGGAAAGGAAGGTGGTCTAAGGGATATAACTGCCTGTATGTTTGAGTGTGTAGGATGGAAATCCATATTACTGAGCTTTTGTTGGATCATTGAACGGCACTGTCTGCAATCTCATTGTATGAATGTACACTTTATATGCTTTAATTTTATAATTTGGACAACTGTTTCTAAGCTGACAATATGTAACCTATTAACTAGTGATATCTTACTGTATTTTTTTCTTGAAATTCTGTATTATTTGTACCCTTTTACTGCTTTGTTTTTTATTTCCTTTCTTTTTTTCTCTTTAAATAAAAAATACATACTCCACTGTTTTTATCCTTCCCATACATATGTTAACTTTTCATTCTAATGCTGAATTAGAGTGTAATTTTTAAAGTCATTTTAAATGGCAATTTAATTGTGCAGTATCAACAATGCAGTTACCTCAATGAAGGAAGGACAATCTCAACAGTTATGATCAAGCCTGTACTGACTCAAACAGACATCATTTAATGACTGCTGCCGAGCTACGGTATCTATAAGATACTATCAACTATAAAACAATCTTATCACCATGATGTGAAACATGGGAAAAAATATGTATCTTTGTAGTGATGTGCTACTGTAATCTCTATGTTATTGCCCCCTTTTCCCCAGTTTTCCAGTGAGCTATCTGAGTGCAAGGAATAGAAAAGTCTTTGTCAGAAAGACAGAACATAGAATTGGGAAAGAGGTAAGTCTGTGAGACATAAATGTAGTCCTGATACTCTCATAACAATGTTTTAGCTGAGTTAGGAGTCAGTGACATATTTATTTGTAAACCACATGTATCTGAAGTGTTGTCTGGCTCTGCCTATCCAGAGCTTTAATGTGAATAAACGAGGACAACCAATGAAACTTATCAGCTAGCAACAGTCCAGGATAGTGGGAGTAGATGGTAGTTACATTAAAAATAGCTTATCAGGAAAAAAAAGGTTGATGGCATCATTCTTTGAGATTCTGCTTACTGAGATTTGCTTTTTGATCCACTATGACTTGGTCACTTCCACTCTTTTGGCTAACCTACTTCATTTTTCCTGTTTTCCTGAGTGATGCTGCAAGTCAAATAAAAATTCAAAATCTTTGTCTTGTTATTTGCTTGGGTCTTTTGGTTCATTATCATCAGTGATGGAAGAACATGGGTCTTGTACCTCCAAAAAGAAATGTAGGGAAGAATTGTGTTAGCATTTTGTAAAGCCACTTCATGAAATAGTGTGTTCATTAGCACCAAAGTTAAAAATAAAAATTAAATCATTATTATTGAGAAAATAATATAAAATCTTAGTAGTTGTAAAAAATAAATTTTAATTATCTCATTTTATGATGCAATTATGGTGCAATAATATAGCCACTATTCAAATAAGAAGAGTCCTCTGTCTAAAGAAATCTCATTGAAATGGAAATGGGCTTTTTATAGTCCCAAAGCATGGGAATTTAAATAGAATCATTATATTTTACAGCTAGAAAAGACCTTTGAAATTATCTTGCCTAAAACCATTATATTTATAGGGTTGAGATTTTTATAGATCTTTCCATCCTTGTAATTCTAATATTCCTTATAATTTTCACATTGTTCATATGAAGATAGGTTATTCAAATAGTTGATTTATAACAATAAAATTTTTCTTTTTATATTAAATTATAATATTTTAAAGTTAAACGCCTTCCATTTAGAGACATCTCTGCCTATAACCTCTACTCTTTAATAGTAGAAGTCATTTTAAAAAATGCAAGTAGCGACCCTTGCTAGGAAGATATATAGCCAATCATTTTACTAGCTAAGGGCCTTCCAAAACCTATGTGATGGAAAACGCAGAGAAAGTCTCCATTTTTATTTCTAGAAAATATTTTTCAAAGGCCAGAGAAATATGTTCTCAAAATTTAAGCCAATTTTTCTCTAGAACAGTTTTTTCTTATTAAGAAAGTCAGTTCAACTGAGGATCACGTTGTATGTGTACAGTCCTAGCTATTCTGGATGCTGAGGTGGGAGGATCACTTGAGCTCATGAGTTCAAAATCAGGTTAGGCAACATAGCATGACCCTGTCTCAAAAAAAAAAATCATTTCATTTTGTTTGGTTTTTATTAACAAATTGAAATTGTGACTGTTGCATTCATTGCCTCTTCTAGGTTTTTTTTATAAATTGAAGCAAAAAACCAATGGCCATGTCCAGTGTGTTTGAAGCACAAATGTTTTGTGGACATCATCTTTAAAGATTTTATAGAATTGAATTACAATGGTTCCCCAATGCAAGGGTCTTCTAAGATACCCAGCTGATTTTGCAGTGAGATTATCTGAGAAAATGTTCATACATTTTTTGCTTCCACAAGCTATATAATTCATGGGACTAAAGATCAATATAAACTACATTTCTT